CCCCCCCCCCCCCCCCAGGGCCACATCCCTGTTCCAGGCCATCGCCTCGGTGTGCCGCACCGACACCATCGCCTCAGCGGTGGGCTCCTTCTTCCTCCTCGTGTTCATCGTCACCGGCGGCTTCGTCATGGTCAAGTCCGCAATCCCCCCCTGGTGGATTGGCGCGTACTGGGCCAACCCCTGGGCCTACCTCACCATGTCCATCTCCATCAACGAGTTCATGGGCGCGTCATGGGACGTGCCCAACCCCGCCGACCCCACGAACCCCCTGTCCCTGGGCGAGCAGGTGCTCGCCTTCCGCGACTTCCCCACCTCCACGCGCATGGTCTGGATTGGCGTCGCCGCGGGGCTGGCCTCCACCATCATCAACGTCGCGGTGTTCGTGCTGGCCACCACCTTCATGCCCCCGCGCCCCTCCAAGCCGGTGATGAGCGAGGAGGCGCTGGAGGAGCTGGAGTTTGCGCGCGAGGTCGCGCCGCAGCGCCCGCCCCCCAGCTCGGTCACCCGCGACATCCAGCTGGGCATCCGGCGCGCCGCCTCGACGCAGAGCATGGCCGCCAGCGCGGAGGAGGATGCGCAGGAGCAGGGGTCGCGTGGCTCCACCTCCTCCGGCTCGCGCCACGGCAGCGGCGGATCGGAGGCCGGCGGCGGCGGTGCGCCCGTGCGGCGCGACGCGCCGCGCGCCCCCGGCGATCTCACCACCTTTGTCTCGGCCACGGGCCCGGCCCCGGGCACCGCCATCGTCCGGCCCTCGGGCGCCAAGAAGGAGGTCCAGCTGCAGAACAGCGGGGCGTGGGCGACGCTGACCGCGGGCGGGGCGGGTGCTGGCGGCGGCGGCGACGCGCCGGCGCCCGCCGCGCCCGCGCCCGGCGGCGACGAGGAGGAGGACAATCTGTGGACCGAGTTCCAGGGGCGGGCGGAGCGCGCGGAGCGCGCTGAGGAGGAGAAGACCGCCGCGGAGGCCGCGGCACGCGCCGAGGCAGAGGCCGCCGCCGCCGCGGCCCGCGCCGCCGCGGAGGCCGAAGCCCGCGCTGCCGAGGCTGCCGCGAGGGAGGCGGAGGCCGCCGCCCAGGCGGCCATCGAGGCGCGGCGTGCTGCCGACCTCGCGCAGCTGCAGGTGTGGGGGCCGCGGCGCGGTGTTGTCTGGGACGGGAATGGGGGTGGGGTGTTTGCGCGGGGATGAGCAGGTCACCTCGTCTGGGGCCTTTGGACCCTCTCGCTGGGGAATGCAGTCGGCCCCTCTTCTCTCTCAATCCCTCACCCCGACCCTTCACCTGTGCCCCCCCTCACATCGCCAGTCGCTGGAGGAGGGTTCGACCAAGGAGCGGGACGTCCTGCTCGGCCCCGGCCAGGTGGTCGTGGGCCAGGGCGCCGACCTCACCGCCCTGGGCATCGCGCCGCGGCAGGTAGAAAGGAGAGGATGGGGCCTGTGTGGGGGAGCCGATCACAGGGAGAAGGGCCTGTGTGCGATGCCGTCTGGGGCCTGCACGCCTGTGAGTGTTCGACCAAAGGGGAATCCCGCTGCCCTTCCCTCCAAGCAGGACGAGGGCGGGGACGAGGAGGACGGCGAGGACATGGAGGAGTTGTGAGGGCGCCGCCGGCCACCGGGATCCGTGCCGCGTGCTCGGCCCGCTGGGGCGCAGGGGCCGGCGCGCCGGTGCTCCTGGTCTCGTGCTCGGCGGGCTGCCTCCAGAGTACTGCAGCTGGCACGGCGTCGTGCGGTTGGGTGGGACGCTGCAACGTTCGTGGACGCGGCCCTGTGCAGTGGATGACGGGATTGTGACGAGACATGACAGGACGACAGCAAAGTGCGAGAGTGGGGCTTGAAGACCTGTCGATTATAGGAAGGTAGAACGTGTGAGAGCTGGTGTGCGGGAGGATCCCGTTCCCTGTGGGCCGAGAGACTGCTGTGGCAAAGGATCTGGCCGTGTACCGCTGGGAGTGAGATCCGGTAGATCCGGGCCGCGGTACCGTTCTCCGGCGGTGGGGGGAACTGGGCGGGAAGGCAAAGAGAAGGCTTTGGCACAAAGTCTGCTTCCCAGGCCTCAGAGACGCAAAACTATCACGTTGCAATTGTTAGACCTTAACATAACAGCCCTTTAGGAGGCTACAGGCGACTGAAGAGGTGCAAACCCAAGGTGGGCTCCGGAGATGCAACACCAGATGCGAGGCGGTGGAGCGGTGAGAAATGCACTAGCATTTCACCACAGCCCCTGAAAAGCTCACCATATGCACCAAATACGTGTTTGAGGCCCTCTGTACACCCATGTTCTGTGATGCTGGCTCCTGCCGAGGTGGTGGGACGAGATCGAGGGAGATGCTTCGCCCCTGCGACGCAGATACCATCTCTCCTCGCCCCGACGAACCCACATTTACATCCACATCTATCGAAAGATCGCAGTCAGGGCCACTCAGTTTGCCGACTCCTCCTCCCATCGCCCCACCCACAGATCCCGCCATCCCAGTCAGCAGACGCTTGTGAGGACAACGGCTTCATCGGGAGCTGAGCCTCCCAGACTCTTGGAAATGGGCGCATCAAGGACATCGGTGAGGTTGCGAGACTATGGGAGTCGTGGACGGCTGCCCGCTGCGGCACGCATGCGCATGCGCCTGTCACATGGAGGGCCAGGCACCGGCTCATTGCTCGCCTCCAATTCCCACCTGCGGAACAGCTCGCCTGCCAGCTCAAACCCACCCGCCTCTCACCCGCAGGTGGTGTTGCTTCTGCTTGCACTCAGCCTCACAGCGACCGCGCACACGACCCCCCGTCGCCTCCAGTCGTCCTGCGCGGCAGAGGCTGGGTGCTTGGCCACATCGTGCTCCGATGCCTTCGATACCACAAACCTACCCTACACCGCCTTCTACACAACCAGCGCCAGCGCAGATAGCACAACGTTCACCATTCTGGCCTGCTCGGAGGGGTGCTCCCAATCCTCCTCCGGGTGCGCTCCACTCCAGACCTTGAGCATCAGGCTGGCCGACTCCCTCCTCGCCAACCCCGGCGCGATTGTCGCCCAGCCCACTGGCACTGCGGCAAGCCGCTGCAGTGATGCGGGCAAAGGATACCGGTGGACTGGCGCTGCCCTAGGCAAGCTGCACACCCTAACCCCTTTGGAGGTGAGTGGGACAGGGTCTGGTCTTGGTGCTGTACATGCTTTCACACCAGATACAGCTGCAATACATGTACCAGGCCAATGGAACTCTAGCACACCATACCCACCAAGCTCACAAACCTTGCAATGTACGCTGAAACCCCTCATCACCACCCTCTGTAAGCAGGCGGCTTTCTGTGCCAGCTTCCAACTAACCATAGCCAACACGGTGACTGGCACGCCACTCGGTCTCGCTGACATTTGTCAGGCAAATTTGAACGTACTGGCCAACACCGGGACACTCCTGTTTAACAGTACAGCCAATCCAGGAACATGCCTGATGAATCTCGCAACCACCAGCGGGGCGGCGGGGTACATCTTGCTCACAGATGCCGAGGGCCCACAAGCCTCACCCCCAGCGGGCCCCAGCCCTCCTTTGAGTCCGTCAACATCGCCCCAGCCATACTCCCCAAGGACTCCGCCGTCAGGTGTGCCACCACCCTCCCCCTATAGCCCCTCACCTTTACCATCGCCCAGAGCCAGCCCCTCCCCCAAGACGCCGCCCTCC